GACGTAATGTGATCGCAACTGTACATTCCATATCTGCGTTGAATAAACCATTTTAAAGGCCATCATGACGAAGCATATTTTGTCTAACCTATCTATGCTGAACAGCAGTATTATTCGACAATACATATTTATTTCCTTATTCAGACAGCAACTCACTATCTTTCATGTTCTACTTACTTACTTATTTAGTTACCTATTGACTTTTACCTCAGTGATGAATCTAATGTTCGGTGTTGAAACGCATCCGTGAATAAAGGATTTTACAATAAGTTGTTACCTTGAACTAAGATGCAAGAAAATGTGTGTAACTGTAATTATTTGCTCATTTGCTTCACTGTTTACTTACATATAGGAGTTCTGAAATTCATACGTATACCATGTTGATGATAACTCGAAGTGAATACATCTTCTGATTCCATGGTTAGCAGCTGGAAAAACATGAAAAATCATATTTTCAACGATTCTACGCTTCGACTGAACTGGCATCAATTATCATCAGGCTGATTTCTGAACTGTTATAATTTTGGGCAAGGGAGAGGAAAGACTGAAAGTGTGCTTTCGAGTTTTACGCCTAAGAAATTCAGACAATTCACAGCGCAAAATGTTTGTCTGACATTGTAAAAAGAAAATTAGTAAGTCGTAGCCTTCCAACATGTAATTTCATCGACAGATCCAGGAAATTAAAAAGGTGGCTTCTTCAAAATGCCACAGGTAATTATTTCCATTGTTCGTGCAGATATCCTAGCTAAATAAGGAATAAACGTCTTCAGAGACGAGATTTTTTCCGTAAATCTAGATTGTCTGCCATATTACTAAAAACGATGAACCTAAAGAGATTAAACTTAGGTCTCTGCTGAGTACTGTATGCGATTACTCAAAGCACTCTGTCAAACGCACGCATGAGAATGACGGCTGTCGGAATGGAATAAATAAGTCCGTAGACGCAAGAACATCAGTCGCCTTTACAATCACATGATTTGGCAACGCCTGTCGCTCTGCTGTCATAAAGACTGTGGTTCTCTTAATCACCGTTTCTGCTTTTCATCTACCAATAATGCCTTATTTTTATCAGCTGTATACACAGCCTGGTGACCATTATAGCCTGCAGTTT